ACTACGTTTCCAAAGTTAGAGGGCTTGAGACATCTTGGAATAGTGAACTGCTCAAGCTTAGGAAGGTCCTTGAGCCAATCCTCCCATTTTATTTTACTTGCATCTGGAACCTTATCGTCCCATCCTAGACCGTGTTGGCACCTGTCTCTTATACACATCTATGCTATACAACATAATAAAATAGAAAATATAAACATATAAATTAAAGGTAATTCATATCTAAGGGGTGATTATTATAAATAATCATTACAGTGACATAATATACTGCAATTATTATACAGTATCAGGACCCTGATTATATCATACTGTAGTCAACAGCATCTATAAACTGCTAATAATGGTGATAATGTACTAAATGTGAACACTGATTTAATATTATTTATTAACTATAATCCTAGAACATAATTCAATATAAACTTATATCAGTTTCTTCTCCAGAACCTGTTGCATTGAATCCATGAACTGAACTGATACACTGTTTTGGTGACTATTCCAAAACAAGATAAGAAAGTTTGTTGCTAAGTGAGAATGGCAAACCTTGAATGCATAGTTGGAAGATAGCTAAGTTCACTGTCTGTAATCTAGAATTACAATCACCACAAACTTGTGGTCTGCATAGAGTATCTTGGTCTATGCTTTAACACAGGCCTATTCTACAAACAGGGGCAGTTAATACATATAGCAAAATCTGACTTAACACTATTATTGTAAAGTACTGTATATTTTATTGAATCTGTCTGAATTTTAGTGTTTCTCTCCTGAGGGAGGTTAATTAATTGAATTGAATTATTATAATTTACAACGTTGTAATAGTTTAGATTAGTGGCTGATGTTCCCCTTCACAGAAAATATCAACGATACTACTAAGTCGGATACTGTATTTACTAAAGGCCTAACTTGATCCATGTTCAGAGTGAGTTCTAGTAGTAAACTAATGTTCTGTAGTTTAGGCCTATAGAGCCCGGCTGTGAAAGACTTTTGGGTTGGAAATCGATATTGTATAAAATAGGTCTTGTCTTGTATTGTATTTGTAGTCCACATAGTATATTAAAAACAAGGAATTACATTGTTTAAATTTGCTAATTGTGATCAGAATGTTAAGGCGGTGTTGGCTTTTGAAACACGGGATTTGGCGGGTAATATACAATAGGCCCAACGACAACGCAAGGACACAGCACTAAGTGTGTAAATAAAAAATGATTATGCATATATAGAAATAATCCACATAAGGTTATTAAAAAAAGGAATTTATTATTTTTTTAATTTGTTAATTGTGGGCGTCTCCAACTGGACAATGGGTAGGACTCAATGGAGGCCACTGTCGACCGCGGGCCCTTGCCCTTTCTTCCTTTTTTTTTATTACCTATCCCGGGGGACTGCTCAGGGATGAAATCCAAGGTCCTCAGAGGAGCAAAGAAAATAACAGTAAGAAACATGTCATCAAAACAGAAAACACAAGTTAGGTCAGTAAGCAACGAAGCTCGTGCAAATAAACAACACAGTGCTAAGCAACCAGTGTAAAAAAAATGAACTTTTTTTTTTGAAAAGGTCTTAATATACCATCTTAAAATACAAAATTCTTATAAAAAAGTGGATCTGTTTCTGGACTTAGAGCCTCTTAACTTCAAATTTTAAAATACCAGTGTTAGTTTCACGTTTTAGTGAAACATCAAGCGAAGTCCACAACTTGACCGCAGAGCATCTGGCCACATGGTAAAATATATTGAAGAAAAAAACAATCAATACAAGTTTTATTACAAGCAAGATGAAACTCAAATCTCTTTTGTTTATTTGGTGGCTCTGAAAAGAGCCGTTTGGTTTGAGAAGCTGGTTGTTGAAATCTACTTGGTTTTGGCCTGGGTCTTCTTTGGCAGAAGTACAGCCTGGATATTTGGTAGTACACCACCTTGAGCGATGGTAACACTTCCGAGAAGACGGTTTAACTCTTCATCGTTACGGATGGCAAGTTGAAGGTGACGGGGGATGATTCTGCTCTTCTTGTTGTCACGGGCAGCGTTACCAGCCAACTCCAAGATTTCAGCAGTGAGGTACTCGAGTACGGCAGCCATGTAGACTGGGGCACCGGCTCCGACACGGGATGCATAGTTACCCTTTCGTAAGAATCGGTGAACACGACCGACTGGGAACTGAAGTCCAGCACGGCTTGATCGGCTCTTGGCCTTTCCTTTAGCTTTACCTCCTTTACCACGTCCAGACATTTTCGATTACTGTAGTACTTCTAGTATGAACTCAAGAATGGATACTGAATGGAAATGTAGTTTCCTGCTTATAAAGGATTTTGGACGCTTAAGTATAGGCGCCTTTATCATTTTCATTCTAGCCAATCAGCGATCAGAATGCTAAGGCGGGGTTGGCTATTGAAACACGAAATTTGGCGGGTACCAAATATACAGTGTAGTCCCAAGGACAACACAACGGTATATACCAGGGACCTATAGGTCCATGGTATATACATAGAGAAAATAGATTTTCTCTATGGTATATGTAACTAAAAATATTATGTATAAATACAGAAATAGCAATTAGCTTAAAAGCTATATAAGACGATATTTTTAAATATAACTTGAGCACTGCTTTCCTTCATTCTGTGTACGTTCTTTATTATATTTAAATTAGAAAGTATTCTTCCCGGTTCAAAGATGAAACTGATTTGTGTTTTCCATTTCTTAAACGTACAATTCATTATTCAAAGCATAAACTCAAAAAACTGAATTTTATTCTTTAGCAGTGTTCTAAACACAAGTAATATATTTTCTCCTCCGGCTATATAAGAGCATCTTTTTATTCCATTTTCTTTGTTGTCACTTTTCAGTGGTTTTGTTTGGCGCTTTCCGTCCTAGAGTGGGTATGTTAATGCTCCTTTTGTTAAACGGCTATCGTGTATAATAAGAAAAATATGAAATAAATGACAGCATCACTTTTGAGACTAACAATACTTTTACAATTACCTTTAAAGCAGTGGCACTCAATCGTTGGAATATGAAAGAAAAATTTCAAGCTTAAGCAGGGTCATTGAGAATCATGTAAAATTTGTATACCGTATAACATATTCTAATTATTATTTTACTCCAGTAGAATTAGATTAGATCATTAGACTTTTTCTAACCTGGTTGAGACCATCGATCCTTTATGATCACCCAATTTATGATCAACACATTTTGAAGGTAATTATGTGTTGTATACGTTCCACAATTACAGTGAAATTTAGGGGCGTTTATTTGAGTACCATATAAGCCTATTCGTATTCATTCTATATAAAAACAAATACAAAAATAAACGCCCCGGTATATGAATACTGTTTTTTTGAAAATACATTAAATCAATCTAATAAATACAATCGTTGTATTGTAGGAGGTAAGTGTAAATGAAACACCAATCAGGAACGTATACGGGGGTGTTAAGATTTTAAAGCTTGTACTTGCTAGCCAAGAAAGTATAATACATACTCCAAGTATTGGAATACACGCCATTGTGTTTTCAATATCAATATTGCTAGCCAATACAAAAGCTTTCCAGGGATCACTCAAAATGAATATTTCTAAACTATCTAAATATGCATCAGCACACGTTATACATGAATTGAAAATATCGCACAATGATAGCAAGTAAACGCAGGTACAACATAGTCTTATTGCACATGAAATAACGGGACACATGTGTGTAGGTTAAAATTTTTATTAAAACTACCTAATTAATAAGAGTATTTGTATAAGCTTTTTAAAGATAATCCCCCACAATTAAAATATTGCATTGTCTGTGATTAAGCTATTTATGGAGTTCCTTGGAAAGGTACATATCTTGTTATTATTCAATAAAAATATAGCCAGCAGATGATTTTTCTGGTAGGATAAATGTTGTGTTGCTTCGAATCAGGGAACAATAAAATTTTAATTAAACTGTTCCCTGCTTCGGATTATTTGTGTATTTATATTTGTGAAATACTAACTACCACTTTAACTAATAATTTCTTATATCATTAGGAACAAAAAAGAAAAGTGTATCTATATTTTCGAATTAATTGTGTATTTCACTAACCGCTTACTAATATCATTAGGGGAAAAAAAGTAAGAAAAGTGGAAACGACAGACACTGAAATTCACAAATCTTTTTTGAACTTTTGTGTGGCTCTGAAAAGAGCCGTTTGGTTTGAAACTGGGCAACAAGATGTTTACTTGGAACTGGTGTATTTTGTGACAGCCTTGGTACCTTCAGAGACGGCATGCTTGGCCAATTCACCGGGCAGCAAGAGACGGACAGCGGTCTGGACTTCCCTGCTGGTGATAGTGGATTTCTTGTTGTAGTGAGCAAGACGGGATGCTTCACCGGCAATACGTTCGAAGATATCATTGACGAAGCTGTTCATGATTCCCATGGCTCTGCTGGAGATACCAGTATCTGGATGAACTTGCTTCAACACCTTGTAGATGTAGATGCTGTAGCTCTCCTTTCGCTTACGTTTCCTCTTCTTGTCGCCAGTTCTGACTGCCTTAGCCTTACCGGCCTTTTTAGCAGCTTTTCCAGAAGTTTTGGGAGGCATAATTTCGACTTACTGTATTCTACACGAAATCGAATAGATGAGTGATGCGCTAAAATAAAGCGCGGTACTTATAGAGTTAGATATGCAAAATAGGGCTTCACGGTAATCGCTTATATCTGCTTAACGCTTCCTATTGGATGATGAAAGCGCGCTTTTAATTGGATACTCTCGTGTACCCGCTTTTGTGTAGGTTTTTTTTATGGACCATGAGACAAGGGCAACGCATCTACGAATGAAAATCTATTTCTGTATAATATAATCGTGGGGAAATTTCCTCCATGTTATAATGTAGTACACAACAATACAGTACTGTATTTCGATATTGAAAATTGCCTATTTCAGCTTAAAAAAAATATACTAGTGTAAATACTGTATATACATATAGGCCTATACGATGAGTTTGTGCCATTGTATTAAATGATCGAATTGTATAACATTGACTAATGGTCGAATTGAATATTTTTTTTCTCTATTATTATTTGAAACTATTGTACACATTTCTGAAAATGAATACAGTATATTTTTATACGTTTTTTGAAGCCAAAATGCATCATCAGCTACTGGAAGATTTAGTATGCTATTTAAATATGAAAGAATGTGGAATTGGTATTTTGTGAAATGTTCTGCAAAGCAAATAAAGAATACTAATAAATGCAAATTTATTAAACCCAGGCTAATCTATTCATTCATTCTTTATGTAGCCAATGAAATAACATACAATACAATGAAAGGAAATTTAACAAAAACAAGACAATATAACCTAAGTTGGCTAGGATTAACTATAGTGTGAAAAACACTCCAGAGGCTCTCAGGCCTGTTAGTCCGGTCTTTGGATTTTTAACATAGATATATACAGACAATTAAATTAAACAATAATGTAAGTAAAATCAATAGAAAAGCAAAACATATAACATAAATTAATCTTAATAAAGTGATATGAAAGGTGACATGAAAATAAACAAATACAAATTGAAGTAAATCAAAACTTCATTTTAAAAAGGCAAGGCAGTTCAGAGGGATGTATAATATTCAATGCTAAATAATTACCATTACAGAACAATTTGTAAATTAGAGAATGAGAAACAAAAAAAAAAAGACACGGTAAGTAAACAATAACCTACAAGTAAAAAGAAAAATAAGGGCGGGCATATCCATCTAAAGAATGTCCCGCTGCTGCTACCGTTTAAAATATATTGTATATAATTTTAACTGAAAGGTATAAAACCATGGTCTGTTAATCAGCATTTGTTTTTAAATAGTGCCTGGACGCCTGAGTGAAAATTAATTCTCATTTCTTTTATATTCGAATGCCTAGCGATTTACCAATAGCAACAGTTAATTTTTGGGCCTAATGTTATGAAAATTGTGGTTGAATAAATAAATTAAATAGTTGTACTGTACTTTCATTGAAGAAATGCAATACGTTATACTGTAACTAACACTGTAAATAAAAACAAAGTAAACAAAACGATAATTTAGACAAAATTGCTTTTCCCCTTTTGATCAATTTTTGGCTCTGAAAAGAGCCTTTTGGTTTGAAATAACTGATTAACAGTTTATGCACGTTCACCACGGATACGGCGGGCCAGTTGGATGTCCTTAGGCATGATGGTTACACGCTTGGCATGGATGGCGCACAAGTTGGTATCTTCGAAAAGGCCGACTAAGTAAGCTTCGCTAGCCTCTTGAAGAGCCATGACGGCAGAACTCTGGAATCGGAGATCGGTTTTGAAGTCTTGGGCGATTTCACGAACTAGACGTTGGAATGGGAGTTTGCGAATAAGAAGCTCAGTACTCTTTTGGTATCGACGGATCTCACGGAGAGCGACAGTTCCAGGCCTGTAGCGATGAGGTTTCTTGACACCACCGGTGGCTGGTGCACTTTTTCGTGCTGCCTTGGTAGCAAGTTGTTTTCGGGGAGCTTTTCCACCGGTTGATTTACGGGCAGTTTGCTTAGTACGAGCCATTGTTATTTTCAATTTGAAATTGATGTCCAATTTCGAAAATGCAATGTGCTTATATAGTGAGACGTTCTTAGAACAACCAACATGATTGGTTAAGCGAATGCCTAAGAACACGTCCGTAAAATATGGCGCGTTCGTTTCAAAATGGCTTTGTGTGTCAGAACAATGTAATTTGTAACAGCCTTGTACATTTTTGGAGTGACCTTTTGTCTAATTGTTCTTTGTTGTTCTTAACTTGATAATCTACTCTCTTTATAAAAATATTTTCAAGTAGTATTTGAAGTACAGTATACTGTACATTCACTAGATAATTTCTGTTGTGTAAGTATCATATTATTTGGGTATCACGAATTTTTTGTAGGCCTATAATTGAATTTTAACATACATGTTAACAATAGATAGTATTCTTACTTAAAATCGGGTTTAAAATATTTCACAAGTATCAATCACAAAATTATGTCTATTATTGAATGAATTTAGTTTAATAAAAGGCCAGGAGCACAACAGTGGCCTATATTTATAACATATTTATAAGTAACTATTCTTACTTAAAATCGGGTTTAATATATTTCACAAGTACAATTGAGACTATTATCACAAAATTATGTGTATTATTGAATAAATCGAGTTTAATAAAAGGAACACAACAGTAGCCTACTTTTATAATATATTTACAGATATTTAAAAGGTTGTCTAAAACACCTCAATATAATATTTTGAATTGGGCGTCTATAAAACGAAGACACAAAAAATAAGACTTATTTTTCCTCTTTTATTTTGATAATACACTTGGCTGTCAGAAAATCAAAATTACGATTTTTTTTAGGCGTCCGTTTGTGAAATTTTCAAGGGCCTTCATTTTATAGGCACCTCTATATGGGTGTCTACAAAACGAAGACCTTCAATAATATTTCTCAATTATAAGTACTGTATTTCAAAATCATCATAAAACAGTTGCCAAGTACCTATTTCATTATTTCACCGGAATAAAATTAGGGATATCAAGAAATACCGAAGGGTCTTCGTTTTACAGACACCCATTTTGAATTACAGTAAAGTACAGTAATGTAATATATTAAAACTGCTCCCTGATTACAAAGTAACAAATCATTTAGTTGATTGGATAAAAATATATATTTCACAAATTACACCAATTAATAAACACTTCACAAATTACGGTTCAAGTACTGTACAGTACATAAAATTCCCTTTGTATGTACTGATTTAAATAAAATACTGCAATATATTTGCATGTTGGAATACTGTAGGCTAGGACAGTGGGCTCTCGCGATATTCATAAAATATAAATGATCAAACTTTCAAGGTAATTTCTTGTTTAATGTTTCTATTAATTATATATTGTTATGTAGGGCAATTTACTTAAATTTTGGCATCACGAAAGCACGTTCATTTCTTTTTAAAATTACAATTGCATACCACTTCTAGGCACTACTACAGTATAATTACATGTGGGTAATAACAATAATACAAAAATGTATACCGCTCATAAACATGCAGAATGGCGTACACTAACAAACGTCAAAAGTAGTTTGATGAGAGGCTCCATAGTAAAGTACACTAGCCTTTATTTAGTTATTCCAGTTAAAAAAAAAAAAATTCCTTCATAGATATATGACGCACGCAATTTTTATATTTTAATCAAACGAGAAGATAATAGTGGCTGACATTATTTCGTGTATAGTTTAGGCCACCGATAATCTGGACCTGTAATATGACGTGTATACAAGGCAAGGAAGAAATCAATCTCTTTTGTTCAAATGGTGGCTCTGAAAAGAGCCGTTTGGTTTGAATGATAGTGAGTAGCTTATCCACCGAATCCGTAAAGGGTTCGGCCTTGTCTCTTCAAGGCGTAGACGACATCCATGGCGGTGACGGTCTTCCTCTTGGCATGCTCGGTGTATGTGACAGCATCACGGATGACATTCTCAAGGAATACTTTCAATACACCACGGGTCTCTTCGTAGATAAGACCAGATATACGCTTGACACCACCACGACGAGCAAGACGACGGATAGCTGGTTTAGTGATGCCCTGGATGTTATCACGCAACACCTTACGATGACGCTTAGCACCTCCTTTTCCAAGTCCTTTTCCTCCTTTACCACGTCCAGACATGTTTATTATTGTTGTATTCGGAGTCGTTTCGAAATCGAAATGTACTTAAGCTTGAATCCACTAAGTTTATATAGTCTGTATACGGACGTAATATGAATTACGGAGTATTGCTGCCAAGTCATGCGCTGCATCTGACCTTGGGCGTATTGTTTAGCGGGAGTTTTGAAACAGTGGAGATTCCTCGACTTTCTACACAAAATGTTTGCTTTTGTTTTGGGACTTTTTTGAGAGGGTAAATTATCTATTTTAAAAAATTTAATACAAATCAACGAAAACCCGCCTGATATTCATTTTATTATGTCTGTTGTTCTTTATAAACTACAGTTTCATGTTTTAATGAACTGTTTCCACTCCCCCCCCCCTTCCTTTTTGGCGGGAGTTTTCCACCGCGTATACCCTGTACATTAATTCCTACTTGGCAGATTCCGTCAAGACAAGTATCTGTTTATAAACTATAACAGTATAGCATCTATTGTTTTCTAAACTGATATGAATATAGGCCTACTTCTCATCAGTGATACCAAAGGAAAAGAAAAACAGTTTTAATAAGTTGCACAAACATTTAAAAGAACAAATAAATTTAAAATTTTACTACAGTATTATTTTAAAAATAACACTGGATCCAACATTGCTTTATGATAATATCAGACCCAAGTTTTTTTCGCAAGTATTTTTTTAGGTTATTGCTACCTAAATAATATAAAAATATAATGCAGACATTGGGGAATGTATACCTTAATATAAATTTCAATATAACCATAAGATGGATCACTAATGTTGGTGCAAATGTATACAATGCACTGCTGGAGATATCAAACGAATCAACTGATTATTTTAATTCAAATTAAGCTTACACTTTTTTTTTTTTTTTTTTATAAGAACCAGTAAAATTGTGTCACTAAAAATTATTACTGTAGAGCGGTATATTGCTGTACTCATGGAGGAATTAGGAAAAAAACATACCTTTTCTGTAAATTTATCTCATACGTCGTGAAAGTTTAGTGATTGGAGATTATTTTTAAAGTGTTATATTTCCATCCTTCTGATTTTTTTAAAAGCTGGGCATACAAGCAGAAAATGATCAAGTCTTCAATGGAATTATTATTGCACACCTTACAAATTCCAGTGTCACTGATCATTAGACCATTTTTTTGTTCGCTGTTAAAGGGGGGTGTATTTGAACGGAGCTTAAATTTTATTGACGCTCCTTTGGTACCGTCATACTTCGTGACGTTTTAATTAATGAGTTGGGTTTGCATCAGGCATGGAGTTATAAAATTGAATACTGTAGCCCGCCCTGTGTAAGTCCGCGAACGTCAATTATTGTACTGTATTTTATAATAAATTTTAGTGTTTCTCTCCTAAGGGAGGTTAATAAATTTAAATAAATTATTATACTGTACATCGTTGTAAAAGTTTAGATTAGAATTTTTTCATTCGAAAATACTCAAAATTGCATATTGACTATGATTAAGGATTTATGAAGCTTATTTCACTATATTAAATGGTCGAATTGAATATACAGTACTATTTCCTCTCTGGAAACTAGCTACTTTGGACACGTATTTCTGAAAACGAATACTGTATATGTTTATACTAAAACTAGAATAATATAACCCAAAACCAATAATGCTACAACTATAGTATCATATGCTATAGTTCAATGGTAATTTTTGCTATACAGCTTTTAGTTTCGCCTTCCAAAACTAATACATATTTATTGACCAAGGTCCTTAAAAAACTGGGATAACATGTTCCTCAATGTGATGCAGTATTACAGTATTATGAATTATTTTCTTCACTTCATGATCTATGCTATGAAATGGCAGTTTCGGTACTAACGCATGCCATTATCCGTGCTATGTAAACATGATATTAATTTGTTGTTTTTTACATTTACGTGTCATGTGGCCCCCATATGCTTTAATATTCGAATACGGGAGCCACGAAGGTTCCACTTCATAGTATCAACACTACCGAGTTTGATAATACTAAATTTACTATAAGGCCCCATTAAAAAAAAAAATTGTTAGTTTATCACCCACTCCCTCATCACTTTTGGGGAAAATCTAATTTTTTTGTTCAATCCACATATATTTTTATTTGAAACGGTTCTTTTTCCATCTTTTTTCAATTGAAAAGCTCAGGATTTCTTGCAAATATGTTTACTGGTACAACAAAAACATCTTTTTTAAATACAAATTTGATTCCACTCTTATGATTTTTTATATATGTGTCCCTAAACATTGATTTTCTTGTGAACATCGGTAAAAAAAACAAAAAAAAACAAAAATGGATTTCTTGCAAATATGTTTACTGGTACAACAAAAACATCTTTTTTCAAATATAAATTTGATTCCACTCTTATGACTTTTTATATATGTGTCCCTAACCATAGATTTTCTTGTGAACATAGGTTTAAAAAAAAGGGGAAAAAAAAAACAAACCTCCCTCCCTCATCAGTTTTTATTTTTTGATAGGGTGATAAACTAATAATTTTTTATGGGGCCTAAGCCTAAGTTAATTCATGTGAATTCTAGTAGTAGCAGCAGTAGCTACTGTAGTTTATACCACCGATCTTGTGTTTATACTATACGTTTGAGTTGGAAATCGATATTGTATAAAGTAAGTGTTGTCTTGTATTAGTAAGTCCACATGGATGTTAAAAATAAGAATTACATTGCTAATTGTGGGTGTTTCATATCATGGTCCTAAGGTACGGTATCCGACTAGTTTGTCGAAACCCAGTTTGCCGAGTCCATAGCCACTTTGCTGAAATCCCAGTTTGCCCAATCTTGCCGTCACCGTTTACAACGAAAGTACAGCATACTATGATTTTGAAAAAAGATGGGTGGGTCAACGAGGAGCCGTATTTATATGCAAATTAAAAGGCAAAATACTGGAAAGCAACAATGGGAAAACACATTTGAAGGCATGACTATCAATAAAATGAAATTAAGGATCAAGCATCCGCCAGGGAATTTTTTTTTGTCAGGGCCCTGACCGAGGCTCTAGCCGGTTCCTTGATTCAGAATCCCTGTCGGCAAATTTCTGGAGCCACCGCTGGCACGTGTGTATAATTGTAGATATTATTTATTAATTTATTTCATCCCAAAGCTGGCTGGAATGAACTACCACACATATTAAAAATTAATGTCGAAGAGATGTCAACTTTTTCTTTCCAAAACCATTAAAAATAATGTTTGAACATTTAATTTTATTAATTTTTTATTCGATGTTTATTACACTGTACTGTATGTTTCTCGTCACTGTACCTACCACTTTGAAAATCAGTAGTACTATTACTGAAGGTGCTTACATTATAAAGAAAGATTAAATTTCCTTTATAGGTCTACATATTACTATATTAGTTGAACTGTATTTATTAGAAATATCGTTATAAGGCACATTACCTGATAGGCTTATTCTTTTTTGTTTTTGCTGATAGCCGAATTGTAATCAAGTCTGATTTACACAATAAAACAAAAATATCCGTAAACTACAATAAGCCGCAATTTATTACAGGAATACGTCGTGAATTTTATGCTTTGTTAATGCATACTGCTTATAGCTAATTGACTCTTTCGGCAAACTGGGACTCATGGTTTTTGAGTCGGGAAACTGGACTCGACAATCTGGCCTAGATCCGAACCTAAACCTAGTGTAGGCCTATTTAAATAGCGAGACTGAAAGGTTAGAGTATTATATTTAGTAACAATATTGTAGAAAAACGTATTCCTTCATGACATATAAATTATGTTATGGCGCTAATGCACATTTAGTACTCGAAGCTAAACCTAGTGTACTTAGAGCGAGACTGCAAGTTACTAAAATGCGCCATTTGTGGTAAGGGAATATTGCAGGAAAACAATCAATATACAGGTATAATATTACAAGCAAGATAAACTCAAATCTCTTTCGTTTATTTGGTGGCTCTGAAAAGAGCCGTTTGGTTTAATGTTTGATCAAATCTACTTGGTTGACTTGGCCTGGGTCTTCTTTGGCAAGAGTACAGCCTGTATATTTGGTAGTACACCTCCTTGTGCGATGGTCACACTTCCGAGAAGACGGTTCAACTCTTCATCGTTACGGATGGCAAGTTGAAGGTGACGGGGGATGATTCTGCTCTTCTTGTTATCACGGGCAGCGTTACCAGCCAACTCCAAGATTTCAGCAGTGAGATACTCGAGTACGGCAGCCATGTAGACTGGGGCACCGGCTCCGACACGGGATGCATAGTTACCCTTTCGTAAGAATCGGTGAACACGACCGACTGGGAACTGAAGTCCAGCACGGCTTGATCGGCTCTTGGCCTTTCCTTTAGCTTTACCTCCTTTACCACGTCCAGACATTTCGATTACTGTAGTACTTCTAGTATGAACTCAAGAATGAATACTGAATGGAAATGTATGTAGTTTTCTGATTATAAAGGGTTTTGGACGCTTAAGTATAGGCGCCTTTATCATTTTCATTCTAGCCAATCAGCGATCAGAGTGCTAAGGCGGGATTGGCTATTGAAACACTAGATTTGGCGGGTACTAAATATATAATGATCCACATAATAGGCCCAACGACAACACAAGGACAACAAACGTGGAAATAAAAAATATAATTATGCATATAGATATACAAAAATTATATATAAATATATATATATATATAGTAAATAACGAGTCAGATGACTCGTTATTTACTGTATGTATATTTGCCTATACAGCATCACCTTTATTATATATATATACATATATATATACATATTTATATATAATGTGTGGGTGTGTGACTGTAAATTGAACTTGTATGTAATGTTATAAAACCCTTTGTTAGAATGATTGTATTATGTGAATGATTGCAAAAATATAAACGAATTATCTAATCATAATGTTTAACAGAAAACTGCCGACAAATTATCTTTTGAACATTTGGGTGGCTCTGAAAAGAGCCGTTTGGTTTGAAACTGGAAGATGTTTACTTGGAACTGGTGTATTTAGTGACAGCCTTGGTGCCTTCAGAGACGGCATGCTTGGCCAATTCACCGGGCAGCAAGAGACGGACAGCGGTCTGGACTTCCCTACTGGTGATTGTAGATTTCTTGTTGTAGTGAGCAAGACGAGATGCTTCACCGGCAATACGTTCGAAGATATCATTGACGAAGCTGTTCATGATTCCCATGGCTCTGCTGGAGATACCAGTATCTGGGTGAACTTGCTTCAACACCTTGTAGATGTAGATGCTGTAGCTTTCCTTTCGCTTACGTTTCCTCTTCTTGTCGCCAGTTCTGACTGCCTTAGCCTTACCAGCCTTTTTAACAGCTTTTCCAGAAGTTTTGGGAGGCATAATTTCGGTTTACTGTATTATACACGAAATCGAATAGATGAGTGATGCGCTGAAGTGAAGCGTGGTACTTATACAGTTAGATATGCAAAGTAGGGCTTCACGGTAATCGCTTATATCGGCTTAACGCTTCCTATTGGATGTTGCAAGCGCGCGGTTAATTGAAAACTACTGTAGCCCGGCTTTGTGTAGGTTTTTATGAAAGAATGCCATTGACTGCAGTCAATTCGAGCGAATGACAGTTCGAGAGGATGCCTTTAGTGCGAACTACAGTATAACAAAACTTTCTGAATATTCTGTAATTAAGAGCTGCCCGAATATGGAAAAATATTTACTTGACCACACATATTATTATCGGCCTAAAATTCAAAATGAGGTCAAATAATACTCTTCCATTAAAACATAGGGACCTGTAAATAGTGACCTAATAGTGATGGCACTTGCCAATTGTGTAATAATGGTGTTGATAATATAAAACATTTTTTATTCACATGTAATCAACTAAACACCATCAGAATTGAAGAATATCATGCTTTAGAAAATAAGCTAGTTAATACTGATTGCCTAAGTGTATGGGAGTATTCTATAACCAGTGACCTTTGTACAAAATTAAGTACTGTATTGATCTTGGGGGAAGATGTGCATTGTGACTATAATATTCATGATATTTTTGATACATTTTGCAAATCTTATGTTAAGAGAACATGGAAGCTTAGAAATGATTTATTAAGCTCTTAAGGTGCTAGTTGTTTAGGGACTGTCTACTTCAGTTCACAAGAGTTCAAAATATTCTGGAGTGGGATGAGAGGAAGGGTTTGCTCTGTTACGGACGATGGTTTCCGGGTGACAAAATATGGGGTGTCCCGAAAGCTAAGACCTAAAACCACGAGATCAGACCGACTCGAAATATCAGACCCTGCAAATTAAGACCCTCAACTAAGTATGCCAGGATTTCCATCAATATATAGAACTGACTAATCATGAAATAAACACCAGTAAGTATTATCGATACCAGCCATGGAGTTATAATTATTTTGATAATAACTCCGTGTACCAGCTAGGCCACTATTTGCGACGTTTACTGGACAAAACAAATACAGTACAAACAAACCGTTGTTAGTGTAGGCTGCGATACAGGCTACTCCACGGAACCGTACGGTTTGGATAGCGGTTTTAATGCACATCGTGCGAATATCTGATAGGCCTATATGATTCTCGATCGTTCTCGATAATAATAATTAATAATAATAATAGGTCGATTTATAAGGTGCAAATAACAAGGTCTCTAAGCGCCATGTCCAAGTCCTCTGGGGCGGATCCAGAGATTTTCTGAAAGGGGGGGGGGGGGCAACAATATGATGAGGTTCTCGCCGCCACGCCTACCTTAGGTGTAAAGTGGGAAATAATCGAGCTATCCTTTCATTCCACTGCTGGATCGCCACTGAACTCATGGGTACTCAAAATTTTTGGCTGATTTGGAGTGGGGTTGGGGGGAAACGGGCCCTCATGCCCCTCCCCCTTCGCTGGATCCGCCACTGGTCCTGGTTTCATGTTCTATACTTTTAGTAATTTTATCTTTTTTATTATATAATATTTTGAAACCGAATATAAAACAAAAAAGAAGCAAGTAAAGGTAAGGTAAGGTGAATGTAAAAAGAACAAAATATCCTAAAAATATGAAGAGTGAGAACGATCGAGAACCAATCGGATACAGTATTCGCACGATAGATGTTAATTTTAGAAACCGCAATCGAAAACGTACCGAAACCGTACCGTACGGTTCCGTGGAGTGCGAATAGCCGGTTTGTTTGTACTGTATTAGTTTTCTCCAGTAAACGTCGCAAATAGGGGTCTAGCTGGTATCGATGTTTCTTTTATGATCAGTCGGTTCTATTGACGTTAGCTTTCGAATAAAGGTATTGTCTAGATATCCTGGAATACTTAGTTGAGGGTCTTAATTTGAGGGGTCTGATATTTCGTGGTCTGAGCTTTCGTTCGGGACACCCCAAAATATGGTCAAATTTAATAAATTCCCCTCTTAAAACTACAATAATTACAAGCGATTCTGTAGTATTGTACACACATTTCTGAAAACGAATACAGTATAGGTTATCGCCATCTTTGCTTTTTTATGGCATACAGTATGTTATATTCTCTTCCATTGGCATTGAAAGTTTCACAATGGTCAGTTGTATACTACAGTATGTTTTGTGTTATTAAGTAGTTACTCTCCATTGGTTAATAGAGATTCTATTATCGGTAAACGTTCCTAATTTTATCATCAAAATTACGGTAAATAAAATGAAAAATTCGTATTTCGACTGAGGAAATGGAATGTGTATTAAATAAAAAACAAATTAGACAAATTGCTTTTTTTCTTTTGTTCAAGTTGTGGCTCTGAAAAGAGCCTTTTGGTTTGAAATAACTGATTAAAAGTTTATGCACGTTCACCACGGATACGGCGGGCCAGTTGGATGTCCTTAGGCATGATGGTTACACGCTTGGCATGGATGGCGCACAAGTTGGTATCTTCGAAAAGGCCGACTAAGTAAGCTTCGCTAGCCTCTTGAAGAGCCATGACAGCAGAACTCTGGAATCGGAGATCAGTTTTGAAGTCTTGAGCGATTTCACGAACCAGACGTTGGAATGGGAGCTTGCGGATGAGAAGCTCGGTGCTCTTCTGGTAACGACGGATCTCACGGAGAGCGACAGTTCCAGGCCTGTAACGATGAGGTTTCTTGACACCACCGGTGGCTGGTGCACTCTTACGTGCTGCCTTGGTGGCAAGTTGTTTTCGGGGAGCTTTTCCACCTGTAGATTTACGAGCAGTTTGCTTAGTACGCGCCATTTTCGCTTTTACCCAAATTGAAAGCGATGTTTAAATTTCGAATGTCGTGCATTTATATAATGAAATGCCAACAAAAGCAGCAACTATGATTGGCCAAATGGATGCTTTGGAATACGTCCGTGCAGTCGCATTTATAAATACGACCTTGTACTTAATTTACAATTTCTACACTGAAGCGCCAAAAACAAATCCTCAGGTATAGATCTTCCCGCCTAATAAAACAATTACTATTACTATTTCCCCTTGTTTGTAGTTAAATTGTTACATTTTTTCACGAATTTTATAAACAGAGTGCTTTTTTTTTTTTTTACATAACTCGGGTCTTACATAAAGACTTCGGTAACATTTGAAGATTGTTTATTAGCTTTTTCTAGTACAGTAATAAACAATGTAAGCCTATGTAAAATGGACCTATTAATAAGAAATGCAATTTTCTATTTAGAAATGTTATGCTCTGTTTAATCAATATAATCACAGAGAAGCACTTTTGTAACAATACAAAAAAATGGTATGATGGTAATTATCAATAAAAAAATCAACTGAATTGTAATTAATGTTCATTCAAAAATAACATTACATAGAGTGAATCATGAATTTGTTTTAATTAAAACTATATTAATTGTCTGCAGGTTAAAAATGATGTATGATTCTAACATGCATACATAAGCGGTAATCAGACAAAAACCACCCAGGACAATAACCACCCGGACATAAACCACCCAAAATGAATTATACTATTGTTAAAGTGGGTGGTTTGTGGGGTGGACAATGTTGGGTGGGCTTGTTTTTATCTAGCATTACAATAGGATAGTGACTTCCTATTATACGCCTTTAATTCATTAATTCTTTTGACAACATGCATTTAAGTTAATAAGCATTTTAGATTTCAGCAATTACTGTGCTAAAAGTTTGCCATTATTTTAATAATTTAAACACAACACTTAACTTCCAAACTTTATGGTAACTTCAAATGTATAATTTGTAGTAAAGTTTTAATACATTAATGAATATTGTCCACCCTTGGTATATTCCTCTTTGGGTGGTTTTTGTCAGGGTGGTTATTGTGCTGGACTAATTTACAGCAGCATGACACCAACTATGTTGAGAACCACTCATCATATTTAATGGCGGATCTGGATGCGTGTCTAGGTAGAGTAAAAATGGGGAGAGGTCTAGGGGACATGTATGTATTAAATGGCTGTGGCGCCTGGGGCTATAATTGCAAGTGGGCCTAAATATTTGGTGGCTAAAACATAACCAAATTTTCGGTGATTTCTCCAGTGGTTTCCTAGCCTATCTGTCCTTATTGGGGCCTGTGGGCCTGGTCAGTGGCGTATTTTGAAGTCTTAAAATAGGGGTGCTGATCGGGGGGGGGGGGCGCAAAGGTGAAGTGGGGTGTTCGATAATTGGCTGAGGGGTGCTAATTCGCAAAATAAGGTGATTTTAGGTGATTTTTAACTACTTGGTCATCATTTTTTTTGGAGAGGCTGTAAGGGGTTCGAATAATTTCTGGAGGGGCATGCTCCTCCTAGATATGTCACTGGTCCTGGCGCCCCAAAAGCCCCTATGTTGTTCTGGCCCTGCTGGGGAGGCCAGCCTATTTACCCTATGACCCACACATATCTGCTTGTATTGTATATATCATATCATAATGCAGAGATTTTAATTAATCATATTAAAATGTTTTATGTAAAGATCAAAGATGCTATATGAACAATATTTTAAACAATCTGTGTGCCTCAAACACAATGACTATTCTTTAGAAGTTAAGTCTATTTTTTAGAAATGGATTGTGTTTTAACAGCCAAAATTTCTTTAAAATAGAAGGCGATTGTATCTCATTTTAATTCCTCTTTATTAGTTTAACTATGGTTCCAGTGGACGGTCGGAGAATAAGCTGTGCCTGAAGCTTCAGGTCCTCAAAGCTTTGCAAAGATTCAACTTTGAACTTTCGAAATACATGGATAAGAATCACTTTTTCTTCAAATGTTGCAAATCGCTGACCTGAAAATGAAATTTCATTATAAAAATGACATAAAACTCTCACTGACGTTAAAATGTCATTAGTGACATAATTAATATCATCATCAGCATGAATAGCAGAAGCATGAGCAACCCTAGCTGTAGCATCATCATCAGTAACTTATCATCACCATTTCCACCACCACACCTGGTTCAGAAATGAAGAAAGCATATGTAGCATTCTCATTCATCATCCTTGTTGCCGCCGTCGTCGTATTATCATCATAAGCATTACCATCATTAGCAACAGTAACATCAGTTATCATTAGTAACATCATCTTTAGTTAAGTAACATCATCATCAGCAGCATCGTCATCATCATAGTCATCCAGAGTAGTATTACCACCATTATAATTATCATATTCATCAAGGTCATCATACATATTATCAGCAGACCAATTACCAGAATTACTTAAGCAGTCCTGTGGCAGGTTCATATACTGTAGTTCAGCAGAACCTGAATGCAAAGCAAACCTTCTAAAAAGTAACCTATCCCCTCCCCTGACATCGAGAACCATCAAAATGGAAAACCTGTGGAGCTGAAATTTTCTACCATAGAGAGGAAATGGAGGTTTGGTTTATCAGAGGTGGTTCGCTTGAAAAATGGGGTTTGGCCAAATCATAGAAATCCCTTCTAGTTATGGGCCTGATCAGCTAATGGCCATCATGTGGAACACATTAACAGGTAAATTCTTTTGAAAAAACAAATTCCTGGGAAATATGCCATACCTATACAATTTCTTGGGCCAGCAGAAAATGGTATGTAGGCGAATGGATGTCTTGTAACAGAGTTTTCTGGCAGAAATCTTTCAGGGAGAAACTTTTCTGAATCTGGAAAAAAACGTTCATCACGATGTAGGGCAGCTGTCAGCACAAAGGCATGAGTATTTTCAGGAATTTTAACACCGTCTATTAAGAAAAAAATTAATGATTTTTTAAATAATATTTGCAAACAGAAAAATAATTTACACTAATAAAACAAAATTTGGGGTTTGCTTTTCTTGAATATGGATTTAAAATAGTTCAGGGTTTCGCTAACGTTTAGCTCTGAGAATCATATCCAGTATTCCAATGAAAGATGATTCGTGTATCACTAAATGTATGCCTGATATAAAACCTTTCACAGCAGAGCCATCCATTCATGTTTTCTGCTTGGAAATTACTATAGGTGACATAACAATT